CACACACACACACACACACACACACACACACCTGAAGTTATCGTCTGCTGCCACCTGCTGGCTGAGGTCTAACTTGCAGAAGTGAATCCTGTTCACACTTTATTTTTCTGAGCTTTGAAGCAGAGACTTTCCTCTTTTATTATTCATATTTATGAGAATTCAGGAGAGAAATTAGGAGGTCAAATGTATTTTATGAGATACTTGATGATCATCTACAAAAAAGTACAAACGAAAATCCTCTCTTGAAGTATTTATACATGAGCTATCACTCATTTATTGATGAGAAACAATGGAAGATTCCTTTGTTTTAAAAATTAAAAATTTGAATCATCTGGTGAATGTGTGACAACTGAAAGGCTGACGAATAGCTGAGTTAATGACATATTGATTGACGATTAAACTCAATGAAGCAATAAAGTAAACAAAGATAGATTCCAGAACAAATACCAACTTTTGCGATGGATTTAAAAAACTCAGCAGACGTCTAAACTCTCGGTGACCCTTGTTATCCGAGGGACCAAGAGCAGCACAGGAAGTGAAGCAGTGACCAAAACAGCAAATAAATATGCAAGAGGTGGGATGGAGAGCAAAATAAAAGGCTGGAAAGAGAGAGAAAAGGGAGTTTCTAAGGATGAATGAAACGGAGGTAAGACCACCAACACCAGCTCTACAAGGAGCCAAAAGCACTGACTGACCCCGACACACACACACACGCACACACGCACACACGCACACGCACGCACACGCACGTATCTTCTTGTGTTGAGAGACAGGAAATGGTAAACACTTAACTATCACATCTCCACATCCTGCATATAGATATGAAGTAGTTCCGTATATAGAGCTCATTCTAGGGTGAACAAAACAACAATTGCTATAATTTAGATGATTGAAAACATCACTAGGATTATTTTTTCATATAAAAGTTCTGCGAATAGATCCATGTTACCTAAATCACACACACTGAACTTTTAATGCATGAAAACAGCAAAAACCAGCGTTGGCCCACATACTGAAAACTTCTCAGAGTGAATCTCCACCACTGAAGAACTAGTTTATTAAAGGACAAACGAGCGTTGACATAAGAACATCACTAATGACCTGCTCCACATCTCAAACCAACTGAGCACCTGCACGGGAGATAAGTGTTCGACAGCAACGTGGCAAACACCAAACGTGACTCTTTGAGAGAGAGAATCTGACGGAGAGGCAAGGAAGCTGATTTCTCAACATGGTTCACACTTACTGTAAGTGTGATAATCGGCAGTTCCAGTAAACGATCTGCAGTGATGGGAAGACACGCGGCTGATTGTCCTCGTCTCCTCACGCGCGGTTTGACCCGAGTTCTTAATAAAGTCAGTGAATCTGAGATGCAGGAGAAATAAACAGGAGTTTGTGTTGAGTGACAGATGCGCTGAGGCAGATTAACTACAGGTGAATTTTAGTAGCATTCAGAGCGAGAAGGCACATGAAGTACTGACATCTGAGTGTGTGCAAAATATAAAAGTCTGGATCTAGTGGATTTAAACCTGGTTTAACAGTTGTGCTTTAACAGAGCATGTTACTGTGGGAAGATTATACAGTGAAAAGCAAATGCAGGTAAATGAGATGAAACAATGCATCGTCCAGGTGACCGAAAATCATAAAACAGAGGTAAAAGTCAGTTTAACTCTTAAAAAACAGAGATGGTGGAATAAATACTTCCACAGTTTAGGTGCCATGACAACAAATGGCACCCTGTGGTCCTGAATGAGCTCGTTCTATGGGCTGAGCTGTACATAATCTAACACTGTGATCTAAACTGACAGAGGAGGAGATCTGGCTCGGCTAAATGTTCGACTTGTGTTGCTGGAGTTTAAAAAGAGGCCGTGACACATCAAGCTGACACTTGTCTGGCTCCACCATCGTTACTCAGCTCTAAAGATGAACTCCAACGAATTTCCAAATTAAGTTCGTGATGCAAGTCCTTCTGACCGCCGTGTTTACAAAAGTCTTCTTCCTTCTGCTTATCTTTGATGCATTGCATTGCACCATGCCTTTGTTTCTGCATCTTCTCTTCTTTAGGAGAGAACTGCAGATTGTCTCCTCCCACAATGCAACACGGTTCCTCTCATGCAGGTTCAGATTGCATGACGACCAGCTGTAGACTCTGATGCAGAGTGCGAGCGCCTCTCTCTCTTCGCTAATTGTTCGGCTTGGCTTGCTGGGGCCCCTGATGCATGGGTCCTCCGTATCGACATGCATCCTCACAGCAACTCACAAAAGTGCTATTGATCAAGAGCTGCATTCGCTCCCCGGTTCTGAGGATGGACTTCCCTGGATGGATGACAGAAAATGAAAGACAAGATATCATGCACCCTCCGTGTTTTCTAATATCCACCCCTGCAGGTACATGACTGTCTACCAGCACAGAACCCCCCGAAACATAAAAACTCCTTTTCTGAACTTTGTAGCCGGCGCACTCACAGGGACTCTTTAGCACATTGGACCAGTGGCCCTCATCAACTCCATCCACCTCTCCCTCTTTCATTTAAATAATGCTTTGTCACCCTCTCCTGAGGCAGGATAAGGGGCGGTATTCACCTCACGGATGTCCCTCTTCATGTGTTTGAGCCTCACAGGACGCTCAGTACAGACACACTTGGACACGGCAAGGGCGCCATGAATAGAGGGCTCTGTGGTGCCCCCTAAAAGAGTGTTTGTGTGTTTGTGTGTGCTGCAGGGGGTGGTTTGTTGCGACAGTTTGTTGGTGCATTTTGTGGACAATGTGCATGTGAGGCCCCAAGCATGTGTGTGTGTGTGTGTGTCCACGTGTGTGTGTGTGTGTGTTGCTTCTTTGAGACTCAGTGAAGGAGTGATGCAACAACAGCTGCAGCAAAACATGTTCAAAAAAAGAAAAACGTAAACATTTTGAACCCCTGCTCTCTCAGGCCAGTTTTTCGCAGAGGTCCCATTGTGGTGCCTTTGTGGAACCTTTTATTATCCTGAGAGGGAACTGAGACTGGAGGGAGTGGCGATCAGTTATTACAGCAATTACCCAGACGTGAGCAGGACACAACAGGAATTCAGGAGTGAGGGAGAGAGAGAGAGAGAGAGAGAGAGAGAGAGAGAGAGAGGGGGAAAGAGTAAAAGTGAGAGAGGGATGCCTCTTATAAAGCCAAGTCCTGTCTCTTTGGGGAGAATTTGCGAGCAGTGAGTCCGGGCTTCGGGTCAGGAACAGGAGCCCGGTAAGCCAGTGACCACACCAATAATTCTCCTTAATGGTGCATCAATGTCCAGGGATGCACGCTGAAGTTATTGTTCCTGCACAGTTTCAGGCCCAGTTGTGTCCTGCGAGCATGACAACACAGCAGACATGTGGACGAGAGGCTGAAGCTCCGGGCTCCTAACTCTTCTCTGCACCGGTCACTTAGGTTACTGAAAGGTAAGCATCACATTTAACAGCAGAGAGCGATGCAAACCACTGAGATTGATAAATAAATCAAATGTCTTGATTTGTTTCATTAATGAATGAATGAAAAATCCTCTGACAGGTAAGTTCCTCATCTGCTCAAACGTGTCTAACGATCTATTCTGATAAGAAATGTGCATGTTGTTGTACAGATTCACAATTTGTAGAATCATGTTTCATCCATTGTAAACTGTTTATATATTTGCATGATTATTTATATTTCATGAATTAAACTGGTAATTAAAATGATGACAGTTGGAAATGCATAAAAATTGTAAAAAAAAAACAATAATAACACAAGTGTCCGTCAAGTGGGACCAAAACAATATAAACTACATAAAACAAGTTCATATTTACGTCTAAATAATTCTCAGGTTTTATTTTGTGCAGCGACAAGTTGTCACCTCCACGTGTGGGAACATCTGGCCATTCATGAAACTGAAGCTGAGGTTAAAACGTAAACATGACTCATATGGGGGTTTCTTGTCGGGTTCTCACTCTCGCAGTATCGTGAGTTCGAGAAAAACTCCTCACTAATCAATCGTTAGCTTTACTGTGTTTTTATCTCTAATAATTCAAAATTTTCAGTTTATATGAGTCTTCAAATTAAATCAATTAATGCATTTTTTTCCCTTTCTAACTTAATTTTCACTTTAGTGTCCTATATTGAACAGGTTTTGGCAAATCAAAATAATCAAGTGAAGAAGTCTGATACACTGAGAATCAGAGGAGCAGCAGGTTCACTAGAATTTAACGAGGAGATGGAGGAGTTGAGACTGATGATGAGTGGTGAATTAAAGATTTGCAGCAAAAGAAGGAAAGAATGAGAAATCGAGGAAGGTAAGGACGAAACAAATGGAGGAGGAGAAAGAAAAAGTGTGTGTGTGTGTGTGTGAGTGTGAGGGGGAGACGGAGGGGGATTACTCCTCACTCCAGAATACTAACGAGGGCCTTTTGTCACAGATCTCTTTCTCTCTCCCTTCCTCTCTTCCGTTCTGTCGTTCTCCCTTTCACTCATCTCTCTCTCTCTCTCTCTCTGTCTCTCACCCCCCCCCACACATGTGATTGCACACAAACTCACATACATGCAAACAAAATAACACATGTACACCTCCATGTACACCTCTCTCTCACACACACACACACACACACACACACACACACACACACACACAACAAGGAAATACACATGTAATTGCAATACCATTCACACATGATCACACACACACGGATGGGCACAGAGTCGTTTTTGTCAATGGTGTCTTTTGTTTCTTTTATCTTGGCTCCAAACAAAGCATTCCTGTGTACACAGAGGAGAGAGAGAGAGAGAGAGAGCGATGGAAGGAGAGAGAAAGAGGAAAGTAAAGAGAGAGAGAGGGAGAGAGAGAGGGAGATCAGAAAAACATTGAGCGCTCTTTTGTTTGGTCAGAGAAAAAGTTTTGATTCACATGTTTTGGATGCGGCTCGCTGAGTCCGGGCCAGTGCAGTAAAGTGGTCGTGTTGCCATGGAGATGGAATACATCCGACTGGAGAGGTTGGTCAAAGAAAATATGGTCATATGTCTTCTCTCACTCATTTCCTCCCATTTACTGTATCATCATCCACCTGATATGCCTGTAGTGGGAGCTGTGTGTTTCTCCAGGACATGTGTGTGTGTGTGTGTGTGTGTGTGTGTGTGTGTGTGTGTGTGTGTGTGTGACGTGGAGGATTGGGGCGAGAGGGCGACGCAGGGTTGAAAGAGTGAAGTTTTTCAATGGTGTCATTGTGATTCGTGAGCGTTTGAGGGGCTCACGCTTGCATAATCACAAAAGTGTGAGGTGATTAAAGCTGATTGATTTATGATTTATGATTTACACCACTCGGATAAAAATATACAGACACTTTTTCATTCCTCACACTTGATGTTAAGTTTTTTGCAGGATGAGTACTTTTTTATTTTTTTTAAATACGGGACTTTTGTTTGTAGGGAAATATTTCTACCTTGTTGTAGAGGTACTTCTACGTAGATCTGAGTACTTCTTTCACTGCCGGTTAACGCCCTGATATCAGTGTTCATTCTTCGCCAGAGCTTTTGTAGCTGAATGAGGTCAAATCTCGAGAGATGAGATTTTCAACAACCCTATGCAAGTGTAGTTTTTGGGTGTCTGCGTACTTATGGCCAACGTTAACATTTGTATGTCACAGGGGTGCGTATCTGAGAAGCAGGCCACCAGAAAGCCGAACTTTGGCCCTTTTCCTACCAAACTCTTACAGCCGTCTCCAGTTTCCCGTGAGAAGTTCAGTCTTTGTCCACTAACAGCTTCTTTAGTCAGAATCAACAGTAGCGCCTAGAAAGAAAAACTTTATCCAGATAAACATCCAAGTTCAGTCTTTTTTTTTTTTTTACCTTAATCAACTCATTCAGGGTTCTCCTCTCTCCGCGGACTCACAAGTGAGACTCTGTGTGGACAGGTTTGTCGGGTTAATGCTGCATGTCTTCATCCTAATTCTACTCTTCTTTCTTTTCTCTTTCCTCCTCCTTATCTTCCTGCTTTGTGGCTCATCCTCTTCCTGCTGGCCTGCATGATTTGTTGGACGTAAGTGAGCGTGTTAAGTACTCGGAGATACAGTGACTGTCAGTGTGTGAATGTTAACACCAGGTCTGAACAGGGCCTGAATGTTCTGACATCCATACACCCCACAGAGCAAAGCATTAAAAAAAAACAAAGCTCATATCACTGGAGTGTGTGTTGCAGGTGGAGGATATATATAGATTTTCTATAGACTGAGAAAATACACAGACAGGGGCGTAGCAACAGGTTAGGGGGCTTTCTCCCAACTTGAGAGGGGAACCCTACAACAAGCTGTCTGCTAATAGAGAGAGAGGACATTTCTTTGATGCACTTCCCTTTTGCCTCAGGCTTCCAAAACCCCCTTGGCCTTGTAATTTACAGAAAAAGTTTAGTCTTTCATTTTTCTTTGGTACATGTGTAAATAACTTATAGTAAGACCAGTTTCATTTGAGGTGAATTTTCCCAGAGAGGAGAAGCAGGTGGCGGCAGGGGAATCTACCAGAGTCTGCAGTCATTGTGGGCAGTTTCATGTTTTTTTGAACACATCACACTGATGAAAGTTGTGTTTATCTATGTTGTGAAATGACTTAATTTAACTCCTCTTATTATTTTTATTGTCCATTAGATGACATCTGCCACACCTCCCTCCTCTCGTAGCTCCTCCCCTCAGAAGGTTTGCCACTCCCAGACACAGACAGATGTTTTGAAACCTTTGCTGGGCGGCATTTCCAATGCGGGCGGGACTCTGAGGAAGAGGAGGCGTGTTCTGTCGAAGGATGGACGCAGCAACGTGCGTATCGAGCACATCAGTGGGCGGAATGCTCTGTACATGCGTGACCTCTGGACGACGTTCCTGGACATGCAGTGGCGCTACAAGCTCTTCGTGTTCACGGCGACGTTTGCAGGGACCTGGTTCCTGTTCGGGGTGCTGTGGTACCTGGTGGCACTGGTGCATGGAGACCTGCTGGGTGAGAGAGGAGGGGTGCCGTCAATGGCTTCATGCGCAGTTCATCGCCTGACATAACGTCACGTCTGAAAAAATTAAGCTGAAATAGCTCCGATGAGGGTGCTGCCATCTTGTATTGTTGGATTCTGTAACTCAGAATCACAGAAAACGTGGATGGTGGATCTCCACTTCTTCCCCTTTTACAAAAACGAAGCCAAACTATCTTGGTTGCTGCCATTTTCTGACTCACACTCAGCTGTCAATTAGCTGTCATAAGTAATTGAATGAGAACTTACATCAGTATGATATAATTATTCCTAAAATGAAGGAAAATATAATTGAGAAACATTTACTTTGTGTGTACTTTGTCCATGTCCCATCTACTAACATGGAGGAGGTGGGGTTCATGGCCTTTAGTGGGGAAAGTATGCGTGGTAAATACGTTTATTCACTTTGACTTAAAGGTTCAGTGTGTAGAATTTAGTGACATCTAGTGGTGAAGTTGCACTGAATACTGAATACTCTCTTCTATGGTAAAGAAAACAACAATTCATACAATTTAGATTAAACACCAGTGAAAACATTTTATTTTATATTCAGTTTCCAAACTCATCTCTCATAGAGGGAAATCTCAAATCTGTGTCTGGGGGAGATACGATGAGTGGAAACTTTAAATGATTCATGCTTGACTCAAAGTTGGAGTGTGGTTACCTACTCACTGGAATTATCTGAGTTTAAAGGTGCCTAATTTTAACCGTATATGTTAAAAATGATGATGACAGGAAATCACTTCAAAAGGACACTTTCTTTTCGTGTAAAGGTGTTTAGTAGGCACATGCACAGACATGTTTGTGCTCAAGCCAAAAAAAGAGGCCCCCCTGCCATTAAGAAAAAACACAGTAGGATATATTTAACTTATATATTTATTTTTGTGAACACAGTCAACACAGTCTAACTCAAATTATCAAAACTCAAATAAATAAATGAGAAACAGGCAAAAAAATTATTCATGAAAATATTCGAACTTAAAACTTATCGAAACTCTGCTCAGAATGAATGATATAAAAATAAAGCATCCAATATATTCTATCAGATACTCTTGGAAGATTTTTATGACCTCACTCTGGTTTATTTGTATGTCTTGCTCAATGGCACGCAGGGGAAGGTCACAGAGACTCCTAATTTGCAAAACAGCAACTGGCTGCCGCTGCAACTGTCTGTATCTCTCTCTCTCTCTCTCTCTCTCTCTCTCTCTGACCCCCTTGATCTAAAGAAGAAAGAGAAAAACTTTATTGATCCCCCAAGGGGGAAATTCTTTTTACACTCATTTAAATACATGCAGTTTCTTAACCCACAATCCCACACACACGCACACAAAGGGCTCATAGACGATACACGGAGAGAGATGGTAGAGTGAGGGGCAGCCCCGGAGAGGCGCCCTGCAAGCAATTGGGGTGTTTGCTGCTTTGCTCGAGGCAGGGCCGGGTCTAGACAGGCATGTATGAGGGGGCAGCCACAAATCTTGAGGGGGCATTGTGCTCCAGCACCTTTTACCATGTCTAATTGACAAATTCACTCACTAGGATGCGGGTACACTGAACAAGTGCCTTGTAAAGTACTGTGGTCTCAAATGCTTGGCACACTTATTTCATTGTAGTTATTGTTGTTAGACTAACCATATATGAACTTGGGTTGTTAGTTGTATGTCCTACCCTCAACCTAAACTGACTGCACAAAGGGGAGATGGAGCGGAGGTGAGAAACATGACATGAGAAACAACTTGATATATTTTATATTTGAGAGGGCAAGCAAGATATTAAGACATTAAGAAGTGGAGCGGAGGAGAGAAGCATGAGATAATAAAAAATATATGAAATTTAATATATTTTGGGGGATTTAGTTTGAGGGGGCACAACATTTATTTGAGGGGGCCAGGCCCCCTCTTGCCCCTGCCTAGACCCGGCCCTGGCTCGAGGGCACCTCAGCAGTGCCCAGGAGGTGAACTGGCACCTCTCCAGCTACCAGTCCACCTTCCATACTTTTTAGTCCATGCTGGACTTGAAGCGGCCACCCTCTGGTTCCCAAACTGGTTCCCCTCTAAATATAGAGTATTTGAATATAAAGGGCCTTTTCTGGGGTAAAGAAAACTACAATTCATCAAATTTAGATGAAACGAACTCGTGAAAACATCATGAGGATTTCTGCCAATAGTTCCCTTTCACCTAAATCTTACACACTGGACCTTCAATGTCACATGTTTCCAGCAAAATGTAAGAAGTAGAAGTTAGATAACATCCAGTGTCATGGTGCATATCAAGGGCATGTTTTCACCCTTGCAATGTTTTGTTTTTCAGATTTCAAAATGACCTGAATCTCACAAGAAAATGTACAGAAGTAAAAATACAAAACTATGTTGCGTCATGTTCCTCCAGAGTTCGACCCTCCGTCGAACCACACACCCTGCGTGATGCAGATGCAGACCCTGACGGGGGCCTTCCTCTTCTCCCTGGAATCCCAGACAACCATTGGGTATGGATTCCGCTGCATCACTGAGGAATGCCCGGCGGCTGTCATCCTCCTCATTGTCCAGCTGGTCATCACCATGCTGATGGAGATCTTCATCACCGGAACCTTCCTGGCCAAGGTAACATACAGCTGCAAATACAGGAGATTTCCCTGTTGTGTGAATGCGTCTGACTCAGAGAATCTCTCTGTGTTCTTCTTTTGTAAATTGCAAACTCTGGATAATGTCCGACCCAAAATCTGAAGTCTTCAATCTGAAGAGACCAACGTGAATGTTTTCAAAGATTGTCAAACGGAAACTAGAAGTTCACGAGGTTTCTCTGATCAGGTTGCTCGACCAAAAAAGCGAGGAGAGACAGTAAAGTTTAGCCAACATGCTGTGGTGTCCACGCATGAAGGTCGACCCTGCCTGATGATCCGAGTGGCCAACATGCGCAAGAGCCTCCTGCTTGGGTGTCAGGCAAGTGCACAGTACATGGATATACTGTAAATTTTACCACCTACAGGTTCCAAACTGACAGTGAGCAATTTGTCCAATGTTGAATGAATTTAGCTAAAACAGCTCGTGCACGTTGTTCCCTCCAGGTGAGTGGAAAACTGCTCCAGACGTCTCTGACCAAGGAGGGCGAGACGGTACGTCTGGACCAGAGGAACGTCCCCTTCCAAGTGGACACATCCAGTGACAGCCCCTTCCTCATCCTGCCCCTCACCTTCTACCACATCATCGATGACAGCAGCCCCCTGCGAGCCTGGGCAGCCAAGGGTAAGTCGGGAGGTGAGGAGATTTAGCGGGTATGTAGAAACCTTCTCCTCAACAGCGTTCTGACATCTGAAACTCACAATCCAACGAGCACTTCAGGCGAAGATTGGCTTGGTGAACAGAGGTGAAGAAGCAGGATATGAACCTGTACCTTGAACATTTTTCATATCTTAAACAATAAATGTATTCAAGGTGAGACTGAGAGTGTGAAGTTATCCCCAATTGAATCATCTCCACTGACTGCCCTTAACTTTAGTATTTTTATTAATTCCTCTGTCCTATTATTCAACTTCCACCTTTTTACAACCCTCCAATGTGCCATTTCTTCACTTCTCATTTCCGTCCACCAGGTGGGGGCTGGACAGATCCAGAACTGGCTGACTTTGAGCTGCTGGTGATCATGAGCGCCACGGTGGAGCCGACCTCTGCCACTTGCCAGGTTCGCACCTCCTACCTGCCCGACGAGATCCTCTGGGGTTATGAGTTCCCCCCCGTAGTCTCCCTTTCTCCAACAGGTAAATACGTAGCTGACTTTGCCTTCTTCGACAAAGTAGCCAAGACTAAGACCACGCCCGTCTTCAAACCATCCAGCCCCCAGCACGGGTACCAGAGCAACGGGGGCGACGGGACTGTGCCGGAGTTGTCCGATCCAGAGAAGATCCGTCTGGAGCAGAGCTACAGGGAGCGAGGGGAGGACCGAGGCCGGGTCAGAGACACTCCTCTCAGTGTTCGCATCAGCAATGTGTGAACCGACGGTCGACTGGATGACAAGGGAGAGACTGCGAGAGACTGCCAAGTTCAGTATCGACACCAAGTCACTGAAACATCATATAAAGCAGCTCTGGACACTGGCTTCCCTCCTATCAGAGACAGATTTGGTTCTCAGTAACACCAGAACATGCAGGAAGCCAGTATGGACTGTCGACCACTGCATGGTTTGTTATACATTTGCTGTTCTGACTGTATTCATATGAAGGAGCATAACCAACTACCTAACAGCCACTACTACATATACTGTCAACACTGTTAAAGAAGTACTAGGTTGGATTATTTATTCAAACAACACCAAACAAAACAAGAAGGGCACAAATCCTCCACTTATGCTAAAGCCCTGTCTCACTATGTTAAAGAAGGAGAAGAACTTGAGTCTGTTAAAGTGAGCAGGAAACACCCACACACACTAAAACTTCCTGCTGCACATACACACACACACACACACACACACACACACAC